TTCAAGATCCAGAAAAGCTGGTTTTGCAGTTGACAGTTCAAATACTAGTTGACTTCTGTGCGGAAAGCATTGCTCTAACAGGAAAAATATTGAGCCATCAGCCCACAGGTTTTTGCGGCTCAGAGAGCCTTCAGCTCAAGATAGGTGAAAGGGAGGGTGTCCTGTACCCTGCACCTGAGGACTGGAGAGTACCTTCACTGCAAGATTCCTAGGTCAGGAGCTAGTCTTCCAGTGGGAAGTGCTTTGACCATGTGGTCATCTTATAGCCCCAACTTCATGGGTCCTGCAAAGTGTGGGAAGACATTTGTCTCTCTCACCATAGTGCTTGTGTAAGAGGAGGCACACTGACCCACAAAGCCACAGGAGCACTCATGGGCTTCTCTCTGCCTCCTCTGGGACAGCAAAGAACTGAACTGCAGCCCCACATGCAACAACCTATGGGTGTCCCCTCTGTCACCTTGGAGAGACAGGTGTCATGACAGAAAGGCCAGTGTACCACCTGTAGCCCTCTAATTCCCAAATCAATAGTTTCACCGTGGTTGACTGGTACCTTATTGGTGCTGGTTGGTAAATACAGATGGTGTGAAAATAATACATATTCCATAGAAACTGCCCTTCAGCAGTGGGTCTTTTCAGGTCTAGCAACACACAGCACAATCCTCTCAAGCTAGACAGCAGCAGCAGTTGCAGCCTTGACAGTTCCAAAGTACAAGGGATTGCCAGACCGCAGTGCTGTAGTAAACTGACCTGCAGCATAGGCACATTCAGTATGTTTTCAACTGAGGACATTTGCAGGTGGTGGGGGCTTCATAGGGCTATAACCCCATTTTAAATCAGGCAGCATCTGGACCTTGAGCATCCCTCAGTCTGGGGGACTTGAGTGCTCATCTTTGACAACTGGAGCTCCCTCACAATATTTCATATGTATCATTCCCTTAGGGGCTTGCAAAAGCCTTTTGTCCTCTGTCGTGCAGAAGATGACCTCTAGCCTGCCCCCCTGGAAGACAGGGTCCCCATTCATTCCCAAGTGCTTCCAGGTTGCTAGGATGTAGACCCGATGGCACAGTTATGCAAAATTGTAAGGTTTGCTCTTGGGACGACCCAAAGGTCTTTCTTCTTCTTCCTCTTCTTCTTCCTCCCCCGCCCCACTCCTTCCTCCAAGTGCTGGGATTAAAGGTGTGCGCCACCCCGCCCGGCAGGTCTTTCTTCTTAAAGAACATGCACTGTCTCTAAATGGCCCCCAACTCTCTTTGGGTCTACTTGGCCAGGGCCTATCACCTGGTTCCAGTCTTCTGTACCTGCTGCAAACACCTGACCTCCTGAGACTCCAGTGGAACATTCTGGGCTCTGTTCCTTCTGCCCCATTTCTGGTTCCACCAACCACAGGTTTCACTCTTTTGTCTTCACACCCTTATCTTCAGGGAAGCTTCACTTTTGGGGTCCCTGCCACCTGCCTCAGTTTTACCCCAAAGTTCCCCTGGACTTGGCATGGGGCCTCCCATTGGCTAGGTTGGGGCCTCTGCCCTGTCTCGTGGAGTCCCACTGGTTGCTGCTTTCCTCACTGCCAAGGTGAGCACTTGTGGCTCTCCCCTTCCCAAGACCACAAAGTTCTGAGGTGTTTATCCACTTCCTACCAGCAATGGTAGCAGACAGGGTCCATGGTGACACACTTGTGGTTCACTCTGGTGATAAATCACACAGTGAGGCCCCCTCTTGATGGAGGGAAACAATCCCGGGAAGGTCCTGGCCTCATAGTCCTTTCAGCCACCATAGTCAGGACTCTGCCCACCTGCAAGCTGGAGCTACTGCATCAAAGGGCTGGCTTTGCTGGCCCACGGGACATGGTGGGGCAGCTGAAAGTGGGAGGACATCTTTTCTTAGTCCTCTCACCACTGTAAGGTGTCCTTGAGAATGAGAGGCTTTCTTGACTCTTGGTGAGTTTAGGTTAGGGTGGACCACAAAGGGTGAGTTTTAGAGTTTTATTATGGATTATTCACTAATGGGAGCTTAAGTGCTTTGCTATATAGGAGTGGGTCACCCAAAGTGGGATTCCATTGAACTGCTAGTCCAGCAGCTTTAAAGGACTTACATAAAACCAGAGTGACACATAGGGAGGATGAGCTGGTCAGTCCAGCTGGCCACCCATGAGGGAGGTATGCAGGTATCTCCTCCCCGTTTTGGTCATGTCCTCACACATAGCTTCCAGGCAAAGGGTAGCCTGGAACCAGGAATCAAAACTCTCTTCTGGCTTGCCTGACCTCCAGCAAGGACATTCTTGGAAGGGCTGACCTGGGGTCTGTGCCCTATCTGACCAGTTTCTATTTCCTATTCTCATTACCATCAGAATCCTTCCTTGACTTGCAAGTTGCTGCAGTGTAGACATTCCTCTTCCCCTGCCCATGGGCTGTCCTCTATTTTCATCCTTGGCTACATCACTTACCCCAACTCCACCTCATCTCAGGGATGGACTCATGTCTTCTCCTGCTCACAGCTGTCAGTTGGCACCTGTCCCCAGATACTCACAGGCAACTCCAACTTAACATGTCTACATCTTGACATGGGAACTGCCCCCAACCCCTGCCTTGCATCCTCCTCTAAGGAGCACCATCTTTGCCATCCTCCACCTGTAGCATCAACCAGTTTCCCCTTTCACCCCCACAGACCATCACCTGGGCTTTCCAACTTTCCATTCTCAAGTCATGACCCTAGTGAGCACAGGCTCTGAAAGACTGTGAGGATGGATTTTCACTTTTCTCAGCCATCCACTCATCAGCATTCTTTATTGAGCAGTATGGACCAGGCACTGCTCAGAGCAGCTGGGATACAGCACTGGACAAGAGACTGAACCCTGCTCTTGAGGGGCTTACATCCTAGGTCTACAAGGAGAACAGCTTAGAAACATGGTGTCTGAGTAGCACAAGGAAAGTGAAGGCCAAGCAAGGCAGGCGGTGGTAAGGTTCGAAGTTCTGTTCTCATGGGGTCGGGTAGGGTGTGTTCTGCAAGGTTTCTGGAGGCCCTGGATGGCAGGATTGTACTGGGCTGAGGTCAGCCGCCCAGGTCTGATGGAAAGGGAAGCTATATCCTCAGTTTTGATGCTGAAAACCCAGGATGCTTATCTCTCAGTCCTTTAAATTATAAATACTTGCTACTAGGAGGGATAGAACTCAGTGACTGGGCACAAACTGGGAGTCTTCTGCTGAAGAGTTTTTCTTTAAAATTTTTATTTATATTTTATGTATGTGACTCTCATGCCTGAATGTAAATGCACCCGTGTTGTGCAGTGCCTGCAGAGGTCAGAAGAGGGCACTGGAGCCCTTGGAACTGGAGTTACAGATGGTTGTTAGCTTCTATGTGGGTCCTGGGATTTGAACCCAGGTCCTCTGCAAGAACAGCCAGTGCTCCTAACTGCTGAGCCATCTCTCTAGCCCCCAGTTTTTATTTTCTTAAATTCTGAACTACATGAATGTATTTCCTATTTGGAAAGGAAAAACTAAAATGGGAAAGAATTTTAACTGTCTTTTGAAAAGGATTAATCATTTGCACCAAGCTATTTCCTTATTAGCCACTTCTGTCAAAATGCTGCAGTTGGAGAATCCTCTAGGGCTTCCGAGGTGAAAGTCTTGACCTTCAGAGTACCCTTTAACACCCTGTGAGCCTGGGCAGTGTTGGGGTTTGAGCTATATCAGGCCCTTACCTGACAGTTCCCACAGTGAGCTGGCTCACCCTGGGTAGTCAACACACTCAGGAGAGGGGGTGGACATTCAGGATGTTTGCTAGTAGCCCACAGCCCTCTGAATGGGTCTTAGTACTCCATCCCAGTTGTTGTAAACTTGGGTGAGGCCCCACTTCTTACCTATCACGTCTTCTCTGAAAAGCCATGGACAGACCATCGTTCTAAGGAAAGCCCTATTAAAGGTCAGGGACCTGGTGTGAATCCCCTATCCCTTTTTAAAAATCTTTTTTTTGAGACAGGGTCTTCCTGTAGCTGCAGTGGGCCTGGAACTTGCTATGTAGACCAAGCTGGCCTGGATCTCAAAGAGATCCACTGGCCTCTGCCATCTGAGTCCTGGGATTAAAGGTGTGCACCACCACTTCCAGCTCCCGGTTTCTTTTCTGAAGCTGAGGTCAGAGGGAGCATCACCAAGCTGGCTCTCTGTGTTGAAGGGGTGCTGGCTCTGAATGTGGCAAAGGCTGACTAAATCCCTGTTTATAATAGGGATTTATAACCTGATAGGCTTAAGATATCCTCAGTGTAGCATGTCTGGGGCCATGGTCAGCCTTAATGAAAGGTCAGCTAGCTGCTTAGCACTCAGCAGGCATGTCATGAGCCAACGGTAGAAAATGGGTTGCTGTTCTTTAAATCTTCCACACAGCAGTCAGTGAGTCTGGCTTCTACAGCTCTAAGTCGTCAGACTCCCCAAGTCCCAACCATGTAAGTGCTCAGTCAGAGAAGTTCAAAGACATGGGGAAAACAGAGCCTCTCTCTCTCAATCTTAAGTTTAGAACCGAGTTTAGCCCTCATCAGGCACTTACAAAGTGAGCAGTAAGAGAAGCCCAGATTTTAACTAGTAGTAGTGAGCACTGAAAACCCAGCATCCCACATGACCCTAGAGAAGTCTCAGTTATAAACTACCCAGGCCAGGAACTCCCAAAGCAACTCAAACCCAGCCCTCAGTTGCAAAAGGGACAACCCTCTCCAAAAAGACCAATGAGGACTGTCTCTTTAACTATTCAACAGAAGAGCACACGGTGCCATAGTACACACCTACAATCACAGCACTTAAAAAGCAGGGGCAGGAGGATTGAGTTACAAAGTGAGCCCCTGTCTCAAAACACAAAGGGGGTAAGAATAGAGAAGGCTATTCTTACCAGACTATGGTTTTGTTGATAGCAGACAAACTAGCTGGATCTAATGACCTTAAGTCATTAATTAGTCCCTCTGGCTTGTCCAGAGGGATTAAGTTTTACAAATTCAAAACAACAGACATTAAGATGAGAGCTGTTGCATGGATGCTTCCTTTATAATCTACAGGACCAAGAGACAGTTACAAGGAACCATGTGATTTTTAGTAGGTAAACATCTGAAATTGAGACTGCCCCAGGATACCCGGTGCTTCCAACTCAACAGTGTATTCAGCTGCACAGCAAAGGAGCTCAAGAACAATGACCTCAACCCAACACTTAACACTCAGGGTGGGCTTCATCTTGGGCAGTTAACTAGAGGGACATAGAGGACCCTCCTGCTCTTAGTCTGTGACAAGTCACTGGCTACCTTAGAAAATCAGGCTTTTAAAAAAAACGGTTTGTAAGAAGTTGCTTAATTCCTTTGAGACTCAATTTCCTTATCTGTAAAGAAGATAAACTGAGAGAATTCACCTTAAGTAGTAAGGAGAAAATAGAACTTTGAAGCCCGGCAGGCAAATTTCAAACCTTAGCCCTGTGTGACCAAAAGGCAGGTTACCCAAACTAACCTTGCTTTCTTCAGCAGCAAAATGTGTTTAAGGATGTCTATGGTGAGCATTTCCAAAAGATCTTGCCTATACCATCTTACAGTAGATGCAAATAAACACTGGTTTCCTTCCTTTATTCCTACTTCATGGTCAGCAAATATAAAAGGGGCATGAATGTGGCAAGATGACAAAAGAAAATGCAAATGATTTGAGAATGGCACCAGGAGTTTGGTGTCAGATCTAGTCACCTCAAATTCCCTCTTCCCAATTTCCAGGGGGCCTACCTTCTGGCCAACTGCCCATCACTGAGGTTTTGACAAGTGCTGAAAGGGTAAGGACAAGAGGCTGCAGAAAGCAATGGGCACAAAGTACAGGGAGCACTACTGGAAAATAAAAAATGCTGGGGTCCTGACACATGGTCCTGCTGGGACCATCATCAGCAAACTGGAGGCTATGGGAAACAGACTGTGTGTCCAGCCAGAAGGCAGGAGAGGTGACTGAACTGGGAGAGTTCCCCACCAAGATGCAGCAACTGCCTCACCACTACCCCTGAGACCCAACCAACAGTGTGGAGCAAGAGGCCCTGCTTCCTGCAGTTGGTATTAGCTCTAAATTAGCCATAGAAAGAAAGACTCAGTACATGTAAACATGACAGGCTTCCACAGTCCTGGGAGAATGTCACCCGAGGAAGCCTGATGTATCCACAGCAGGACTCAGGGAAGGAGAATACATAGCACCATGGCCAGCATGCTTCAGGCTTAGCTCTGTACAGCACCCCAGTTCAACCTCTCAGTTCCAGAAGCTGGGACTGGCCAGGGGGTTTCTGTCCAAAGGGAAGTGCTTTATCATTTACAACACAGCAACCCAACCTTCTGCTTCCAAGAGGACATTGTATTTTAAACTCAGGAAGAGTCATAACCCTGGGAGGATCCAGCCTTCACATTCTACAGATAAAGGCTTCTCCTCTGGGAGTAGGCCCTCTGAGAGGGGAGGGGTGTACCCTCTGAAGAGGGAAGGGTGGTGACGGTCAGAGTATAATTTAAACTGTGTCCTGCACACAGATGCCTGTAACAACAAAAAATGGGAATATACCAGTGGGAGAAATGTGCTCTGTAGCCAAGTGGAAACCAAATAGTTTGGCTATACAAAGGGATTCTGAGATGTCCTGGTAGAGCTGATATAAACCCTGCCCTTACCTGCCACTTACCACATTCCACATCTGAAAGGCTAGCCCTATGGTCTCTGGCCACAAGTACCACAGGACTTCAGAAGCCTGTGGTGGAGCTAAGGAGGAAGTTAGAAAATGTGTTCAGTCCCAGTGGTGGGGCCCTGGGAAGCAGGTGGCCTGTTCCAGTCTCCAACCTTGGGGGAAGCTGTGTGGAGGAGGTAAAGGAACAAGTGGCTTGGGTGTGCTGATTCCCTTCTGGGGCAGAAGGGCCTGCTGATGTCTACCATAGCCATGTGTATCAGAGAGTGGTAGGGCAGCCTGAGGGAGATCTGAATATGCCTAAACAGTGTGTGTCTGATTCCCTTTTCACTCTGTGCCAAGCTGTCTCCCCAGACAGAGAGATTCAGGGTCCTGAGGCATAACTCCCCTGAAGGCTCGAATGGGCTCTGGTTCTGGACTTGACTGGCTTTGCTTGTCCTAGGGACTCCAGCTGAGCCCAATCCTCGACCTTCACACAAACTGGGACAGGTTGGGAACTTTGATGTTGAGATCGCCGATGTTGATGTTCCGTGGGATCTCAGGCAGGTTGATGTTCTTCACAGCAGATACAGCCCGTGCTGGGGCTGCTGAGAGGCCACCCTAGGAGAAATGAGAGGTGAGTGTGAGATGCGTTCTCAGTGTCACCTGCTTAATTCTTTAAAAACCAAATACATGAAGATCTAAGGAATTCCAAAGAGCACACACAGACTTTTTAATTTTCTTCCTCCTTTCTGAAAAGTGACCAACAAAACATTTTTAAGGGTAGCTGGAGCTTGGTATGGAGATCTGAAGCCTTTGTTCCTGTCAGACTACAAGGTCCACAAAAGCAGGCTGTGTCTTATGCAGTCTCATAGCCCAGGCTCCTAAAAACTGTCAGTGGCCTATCATTGGTACTTAATAAATGCTTGCTGAAATATTCTGAGATTGTTTATCCAGGTCACAATTGGTATTAAGGGTACTCTATTGGTTACAAAAAAAAAACAAAAAAACCTTTCCTCAAAAGGCCATCTTAACAAATACAAAGTCATAGGGAAATTCTTTAAAGGAAAAGCAGTATCACAAAAGCAATGTTGGCAACTGCCTGTCAACGTATGTGAACTGGAAAACCACAGGCTTTGGATGTCATTCGGCAACAAGCAGGTTGACATGCCAGACACAAAAGGATGGGTAACAAAACCCACCCAACAGAATCATTCTCAGTGTGAGAGGGAGAAGGTGACAAAGACTTTCAAAATCATTGCTCCCTGACTACTTTCAGGATACTCACTCAAATGCCACCATTCCCCAGCATGTCTTTGTTTATTTCCAAACCCCTTGCCTGACTTACTCACTAGGCCTGGAAGCTTCCCAACTTAACATTTCTCAGAGAACTCTAGCAGCCACAAGAGCTGTGGTCTGGAAAAACTTCTCCAACAGGCACACCAGTTCTCATAGAAAGAACTCCTCGTTTCGTAAGACCAGGTTCCATTACACAAATCAAAGAAACTGTTGAAGATACCCAAAAATTAAAGAGTAATCTATTCTGCTATTTCTGCATGTGTGAAGGTGCATGCCCCTAACTGCTACTCACTGGCAAGGCTAAGGAAGGGGACTGAAAGATCACAGCGTGATAAGACTAACTTTACCATGAGCTCCTGCACTGAGCCCAGTCCTGGGTGAGGGTCCAAAGGATATGGTGTTCCAAACCAACTTTATTGCAGCTTTTTAGAAGCCTCACTGAAAATAAGGAATCTGAATTTCTGAGGGCTTAAAAGATACTATGAAATATGGCTTCTGGGAGGTCAGATGCATATAACACCCATCCTGGGTGCTTCAGGGAGTGTGTGGCTTAGAGAGGAAGAATTATAAACCACAAATGTAGCCCATAACCAGTTGCCCCAGAAATGGTTTGTCCTCCTCTGTCATATGCCTTTCCATTCAAGACTGAGATCTCAAATCACCTTATCTGCTTTGTGTTTAGACTGGTCTTCAAGTCAGTTTTGATGGACTCAAGGAAGAAAGAAGAGTAGAAACTGTTTCCTAAGGCTCTAGAGCAACAAAACCCCACATAGGCATACACTCCTCCCTCTGCTGGGTCTTCTCTACCCAGACAGGGTAAGAGTGCAGCTGCTTCCTCACCTCTGATTTCTCCAGCCTGTTTTGAGCTTCAATCTGAGCCACAATTTCGTTCATGTTTGTTTCCAGCACCATTCCTCCCATCACTACCTCCTGGAGGATGTAGTGCACCTAGAAGAAAGGGAAAAACAAGAAGGGTCAGAGCAACTGTGAAGTGATTTCCTTTGGTTGTAGCAGTAGCAGAGGGGTCAGATGTGACACATACTGATCTATAACTCAGTCATCTACACTCCTCTAGCACAACCACCTCAGCAGTGAGACCACAGGAGTTCTCTCCCTTTCTGGCCTATGGTAGCCTGGTCTTCTATCAGCAGAGTTAGAGGTGTCTGGTACCCAAGGCAGTGAGGCAGCTGAGGCTTCTGAGTCAGACAGATCATGTTTAAATTCCAGCTCTGCTATTAGTTAGCTGAGTGGCCTTGAGTAAATTATCCTTTCAAAGCTTCAGCCTCCTTCCAGGGCTACAAGAATGGCTAGATGAGATAACTAGATCAAAAACAAGATGTAAACCATCTTGGCTGATGCCTTATATGTTGGGTTCTACATAAGTAGAGATGGCTTTTTTTTTTTTTGAGACAGGGTTTCCCTATAGCCCCATCTGGCTTGGAATCCACTATGTAGACCAGACTGGCCTCGAACTCAGAGATCCACCTGCCTCTGCCTCCTAACTGCTGGGCTTAAAGGCATGCGCCATCACACCCAGCTCAGTGTCCTTTCTATGGCCTTCTCGATTTTGCCCACAGAGAGCAGAGGGAATGCACTAGCCCACAATGGGGGATATGTCCTCTGACTTTGGGGATGGAGTAGATGGAGAAATTTCTATATATGCTCAGTAAGTCTTATTAACCACTTCTCTGAACTCTTTTTCTAAATTTTTTATGATATGAATTACTCATATTATGCATGAATATATAACTATAGACAAATAAAATTTAACAGTAGAAGGGTTTGTTGGTTTTTTTTTTTGGTCTTTTTTTGAAACAGGGTCTTCCTGTAGCCCCAGCTGGCCTGGAACTCACTATGAAGACCAGGCTGGCCTTGAACTCGCAGAGATCTGCCTGCCTCGACCTCACACGTGCTGGGACTACAGGCTTGCTCCACCACGCCTGGCTAGAAGTTTCATATTTAGGTAATATATAAAGTGTTACACAAGACTGCTTTTCAAGTTGTTCCCTAGGGGAACTACACTGTTTATATTTCCCTATCAAATAGTCTTCTGGATGTATGAACTATATGGAGGTTCCTCAGAAAACAAAAACAGAGTTGCTGTATGACTTAACAATTCTACTTCTGGGTAATATCCAAAAGACTGAAAGTAGGGACTCAAAGAGATATTTATATATCCATGTTCATATAGGCAATGGTCACAATAGGCAACAGGTGGAAACAACCCAAGTGTCCACCAAATGGATAAACAAAATGTGGTATGTTCATAAAATACAATATTATTGGGTGGCAGAGGCAGGCGGAGCTCTGTGAGTTCAAGGCCAGCCTGGTCTACATAGTGAGTTCCAGGACAGCTGGGGCTACAGGGAGATCCTGTCTCCTGTCTCAAAAACACCAAAAAAAAAGGAAGGAAATTTTGATACATGTATACATCCATATAACACAAATACTATATAACATGACTAACACTTGAGTACACTATGCAAAGCAAAATAAAACGTCTACAAAAAAACAACCTGTAGGATTTCACTATGAGGTACCTAAGGTCAAATACATAGAAAGAGAAAGCAGAACAACGGCCGTGGGAGGTGGGGTGGGTGAGTGCTGTTGTTTAATGTGTACAGAGATTCAGTTTCCAAAAATGAAGATCTCTGGACATGGATGGTCGTGATGGCTACATATGAATGTGATCAACTTAATGCTATTGACCACAATTAAAAATAGTAAACATTAAACTTTAAAAAAGAAAGAAATAGGCCTCTATATTAGTACTCTTAGTGTTTTATTCTCTTTGCTTAACCAATCTCTTCCTCATTGATGAAAACAATTCTATTGTTGAGTATCTGCCATATGCCGAGCACTTCATGAAGCTTATTTTAATTTTACAATATTTATCTGCATTTGGTAATTATGATGGTTAGTTTGTAATGTCATCTTGCCACAACTTAGAATCTCCTGGGAAGAGTCTCAACTGAGTGACTGTCTTTATCAGGTTAGTCTGTGGGCATGCCTGGGGGGATTGTCTTTATTCTTAACTGAAGGAAGACCCAGCCCATTGTGGAAGACACCATTCCCTAGGTAGGGAGTTCTGAACTATCTAAGACAGAAGAAGGCTAGAAGAAAGCAAGCAGGCAACATGGGTGTGTTCTTTTTTCTTTACTCCTGACTGTGGACAGTGATGTGACTAGCTACTTGGCCTCCTGCCACTGTGACTTCCCCACATGATGAACTGTGAGCTAGAACTATAAGCCAAATAAACCCTCTCCTCTCCTAAGTTGTTTTTTGCCAGGGTATTTTATCACATCAACATAAATGAAATAGGAGCCTGGAGTGGTGGCACATACGGAACTCTGTGAGTTCAAGGCCAGCCTGGTCTACATAGTGAGTTCCAGGCAAGTTGGGGTAAAAGGGAGACCCTGTCTCAAAAAGACCAAAAAAAAAAAAAAAAACAAATAAACAAAAGAACCATAAATGAAAATTCATTTTATACATGAGGAAAAAAAAAATCAATGAAACTATAAAAATGCCAGGTGTATCAGTACCAGAACTGAGTGCTGAATGTAGGTTTGGTGGATCTATATTCTGAATCTGCTATATTCACCCATGACTGCTAGTGCACATGGATCCAGACTTGCCTTTGGTATAACAAAGCTCTGTGTGAATTCTTCCCTCTCATCCCCAAGGTCTAGAACAAAACCCAGCACAGCCTTTTACCAGAGGCTGAATGGATAAAAGGCTTTACCATTCAGCCTTTTACCCAGGCTGAATGGATAAAAGGCTTTCCCACATCTGAGTAGAAAATTTCTTGTGGCTTTAGAGGCTTAGAAGATGGATGACAGTATGGTTGTGGAGGTTTTATGGAGAAGGTATAGCAAAAGGCCTAATATATGATATTATGGGGATCAGAAAATAGAAAGAAAAGTTTAAAACTTCTAATTTGGATACTAAATCATAAAGGCAGCATTTCTAAAAGCTATTCAAATGTGTTCTAAATGTAAAAATAAAAAAGCAAACCGATTTTCAACAAAACTAGAAGAAAATACAAATTTCAGACCCCTAAAGATAGAAATGCTGTCAAAAGCAGGAGGCTCAGGCAAGGCTCCCTTTGCTTCATGGAAGGATAGGGAGAAAAGAGAGGGAAGAGACGGAAGCTGGTGACCTCAGCAAGGCCTATGAAAATATACTTCCTAGAAGCAAAGCACACACAAATTCTTCGGTGTGGAGGGAAGACATTTTCTTGGACCTAAAGTTAGGGCTACATGGAAAAACACAGGAGCCAGCTCTATCTGCCTTGCAAATGTGGTTTTTGTTGGTGCAGAGAAGAAAGTCTTTGCATTGTGGAAATGCTCACAGATGCCTATTTTTATTTGCTAGCAAGAATCATGGGCACATAAACTCACCCAGAACTCTCTATCATAGGGTCAACTGCATCTATCCTGGAACACAGTCTCAGCACCTCCCCAAACAAAATTCCTGAAAATAGCTAGTATCTGAAAAATGAACCTATTTAAAGATAACTATAAAAAGAAATCTACACAAGATCTAAAGATACAACAAAGAAAATTAGGAAACAGGAAACCAAATGATAGACAAAGACTACATAATGGAAAAGTACTGCTATGTAACAGTTGAAATTAAAGTAAAACATTTTGAAAATTATAAAAAAAGGAATGGCTAGGTGTGGTCTTTATCCCAGTACTTACAAGGCAGAGCCAAGTGGATCTCTGTGAGTTTGAGGCTAGCCTGGTCCACATAGTGAGTTCAAGGCCAGCTAGGGCTACATAGTGAGACCTTGTCTCAAAAACAAAAACAAAACGAAAGAAATGACATGGCTAAGACACAGCTCAGAGTTCTAGCACTTGCTTGGTGTGTTAAAGGTTGTAGATTTGGGCTGGGCGAGGTCGTGCATGCCTTTAGTCCCAGCACTTGGGAGGCAGAGGCAGGAGGATCTCTGTGAGTTTGAGGTCAGCCTGGTTTCCATAGTGAGTTCCAGGTCAGCTGAGGCTACAGGGAGACCCTATCTCAAAAAAGGGCCAAAAAATAATAAAGGTCCTAGATTTGCTCTCCAGTATTGCAAACAAAATTTAAAAATTTAAATGTATTTTGCTGGGCATGGTGGTACACACTTGTAATCCCAGCTAGTTGAGAGGGTGAGGCAGGAGAAATAGTTGTCTCTAAGAAGCAAGAACTCAAAGTTGAAATGCAAGAGATCATAGCAGGGGGATAGGGAGATAAGAAGGCAAGAAAGTGTTCTGTGGTGGAGCTCAGTGACAAAATGGAAGGAAAAAAGATTACAAAATTGAAGAGGAAACTAGAAGTAACACTAGAGACATTGCTAAAAACAATACAAATAAAAGGAAAGAAATGGAAAAAAGTGAATGAAACAAATTAATTAAAAGAAAAGAGAAGGAATGCAACTTAGCTGGCAGAGTGCTTGCCTAGCAGGAATGGGATCCTGGTCTTTTCCTCAACACTGCACAAACCAGGTGTGGTGGCACATGACTGATCCCAGCATTTGGGAGGTAGAAGTAGGAGGGTTACAAGTTCAAGGTCATTCTTCGCTATATAGGGAGTTTGAGGCCAGTCTGGCTAGAGACCTTGTTTCAAAAAAAACCTAAAAAATAAACAAACAAAACACCCACAAATATTTAATGCTAGCAGAAAAAAGAGCACTATCTACAACATTCTTAAGGACACAAAGAGTGACTCAAGGAACCTAGAAAACTTGTGATGACCAAGGAGTAACAGAAAGACTATGGCATTGCACAACATGGGTGCACTTATACACATGCAGGCAATACACTCATACACATAAAATAAGAATAATAAATAAGTTTTAAAAAATGACTATGGCATAAAGGAAAGACCAGCTGTGAGTGCTGAAGCTACTTAGTGGGCAGGTTAAAATTGAAAGGTGACAAGAAGGCATCAATGTTCATGCCTCAACA